TTGTAAAAATCGACGCGTTTCAGAAAGGCGGGGCATAGAGGAGAAACAATAATGTACAGTATGTGGAAAATAATGTGTTTTTTGAACCTTAAACCGCATAAACACATTTCATTACACCAAATACACAAAATAATGTTCTTTTTTAGCAACATCATATGACCCCTTTAACTCTTACTTCTATGAGAACAGTCGTGGTATCATACGGTAATACCATGGTATTTTTGACTTGTACCATGGTAACAAATAATTAAAATATCATTGTTTTAGTTAAATTATGGCCATAATTTAAAATGCCTAAATTAAATCAAGGGAACGAATTAGCACAACGTAGCCACAATTTAAGTAAAACAAGAGATGAATTACAACAACGTGGCTACTTGTTTAGCTCTTATAAGAACATATAGTACTGGTGGTATCAGATGGTAATACCATGGTATTTACATTTTTATGCACTATATCTCTTCTTGTTGTTTAAACAGTAGAGCATAGCGCTAGCAACGCCAAGGTCATGGGTACGATTCCCAGGCAAAACAAGAACTGATCAAATGTGTACCTTGAATGCAAAGTAATTTTTCGATAAAAGCACCTGCTAAATGCATAAATGTTACTGTTAATTTAAAACAAGGGAACAAATGAGCACAATGTAACCATGATTTCACAAAAACTACAAAATTACTACAACGTGACCATGATTGAACTAAAACAAAGGAACAAATTATTACAACATGGCCATGAATGAATAAGCAGTGGGAAATTAATTCTTAATTTGTGTCTACAATATCTATTTATTTTCCCATGCTGGTCTTCGTACAAAAACACATACTTTTTATTATCGATCCTTATGTCTGCTGAGTTGTGAGAGTCTATTAAAACCATTAAGCTCTTGTGCATCCAATAGCGATGTGGGTCGTTTAAAACAGCACAAGTACTTTTACCCTCGAGTTCGGTAAAGATTTACAGCCAGATGTTGTTGCATTCATGCAGTTTCTTAACTGCTCTGTTACAATTAGATTGAAAAGCTGTACTCAGCATTACTCAGAGCCCAACTCTGGATTAAATTGTTGGCAAAAAGCAAGTCGAGGGCTTGCAGAAATGACGTAAAGGGGAAATAAGGCCAGAGCATGAAAGAGCTTAGTTTACATCCCAAACTTTATAGTTTTATGGCTGGGAGATAAACGCTTGCAAAGTGCAGAGTCCAATGGCAGGACCATAAGAGCAACCAATAGCTCTTTCTTTTAAAAGAGTTTACTGCTTCAGTATGGCAAACAATCCAGAGGCATCACTTTTGATCCCCAGGTAATATAACTTCATGCCATTAAACAATGTCACTACAAACAGAAAGAGAGAATGAGTGTCAACAAGACATATTGAGTCTTATCTGAATAGAAAAAAGGGTTGTAAATAGAAGCCAGTTGTTTCCAGGTAACCTGAAAAGTTAACATACCTAAGTGACAGTCGTACGCCCAGGTTACACCTCTCAAATTATGCAATACAATGTAAACGAATATTTCTGCTCTCATGACATGTGAGAAGCTCATGCTGTTTTTGGAGACTCAGAGACCCCAAGATTTTATTAAAGGCTCAAATATGATACTTGAAATTGAAGAACCAAGTAGATAACTCAATAACTCACTTCAAACAACCTCCAAGGAAACATCTCAGAGACCTTAAATATAAAATATGAATAAATGCAAATGATTTGAATTCAAACTGATCCCATGGCATGGGATTCTAGTTTTTTTTTTTCAAACAACTGTTCACTGAAAGGGAACCAAAAATGTTTCTTCGGTCACAATTCTCGCTATTAACAAACCATTAACTATGAGTCTTGCCTCAATAGACTCCTAAGTTGCTGCTTATTAATAGTTAGTAAGGTAGTTGTTAAGTTTAGGTACTGGGCCGGATTAGGGATGTAGAATATAGTCATGTTCTTTATAATAAACAGCCAATATGTTAATATTAGGTACGTTAATAAGCAACTAGTTAATAGTGAGAATAGGTGTTACAAAAAAGTGCATACTACACTGAACACATTTATGAAAAGTGCACAGAGTAACAGAGTAAGAAACAAGATTTATAGAGAAAAATTAAAGTAAAGAGACTGTAGTAGGTGAGGGGCTGATGGGGAAAAACAATTGAAAGGTTTATGACAATTACTGGGTGGGAAAGGACAGCGATAAGGATGATTGAGAGAAGCGTTGGGGTTTAAATGGAGGGAGAAAGGAAAGTGTATGTGTGGCTGCTGCCCTGCCCTTGACCCCCTCTCCCTGTGTGGGCCTTCCTCTGCAGTGCAGGGCTGCAAACAGTTCTGATGATCTCATCTTGCAGGCGCCTGTTTTATTCATGAATAGTCAGCAAATGCAATGGAACATTTTAATTAACCATTAAACAGCTCATACTGTAACAGCTGGAGAGTTAAAGGCGGTCACACCATAATTTACAGAGTGATTTACACACAGATGCCGAATATTTTACACTTCACAGCTGGACCTGATGTGGCAAACATTTTTCCATTCCAATTGGAAATGAAAATATGAGTCACAATGAATTAAATAAGTTTATTTGGCAGTTTTGATTGTGAACGCAATTAATACTCAAACCCACTCGCCCCCACACACACACACACACACACACACACACACACACACACACACACACACTGCATAGGGAGAAGTGCAGGTGTCTGCCTGGTGCCTCTTGTGATTGACTGTCTGCTCTCCACATCACAGAAAGATGCTGCTGCTGCCACCCAGGGGTGAAAAGTACACAGTACACTTTCACAACACCTATGGACAAAAAGTCTGAGACCTTCGACCATGCATATAAAATGCAATTTATTCCAAAGCTGAATTTTCGGCATTATTATTTCAGTCTTCGGTGTCACATGATCCTTTAAAATCATTCTAATGTTGATTTGTTGCACTAGAAACATTTCCTATTATTATCAATGTTGAAAACAGTTGTGCTGCTTAATATTTTTGTGGAAACCCTGTTATAGCAGAATGAAAGACATTTAGGCAAAATATATTTTACTCAAATTGTTATGCTAGTAATACAATTTGTAATAAAAACTACTATAATTAGTAGAAAAGAATGAAAAATAGATGTATATTCATGAGTTGTCTCAGATTTTTAGACCCCACTGTATGCAGTAAAAATCATGTTTCCTCACACATTCAGTTTTTAAAAGGAAGCATCCAGTAGTCTATTAAAAAAGTTGTTTTTATTTTATTTTATTTGAGGAAAGAGTACTAGAGGGTGTAGAAATATCATAATCATTGCTAAGCATTTTAAGACAAAGTGTTTGATGGTGCCTTATGTTTGCTTCTAGACAACATACATACATTCAGTTGCTTTGATTTCAACAGGAACATTTTGACCAGAGACATAAATTCCATAAAAAATTCCATGCAGAATGCCATATTTCACCCCCAAACTAAGGGGAAAATGTATTACAGAACAATTTTTGTGGTATTTGACATTATTTCATAACATTAATGCACATTTTACCACAATTCTTACTACTAAAATGCATCCAGACCTTTTACATTTTTGAGTGGTCAAAAAATGTGCCTAATTTCCCTAAATTTAACCATATTTGCAGCAATACCTGCAACTAATGTTCAGATGTTTCTCCTCTTACGTAAACATCTTTAAACGGTAGCTTTGTTTTTTAAGGTCAGTGCTACAGAAGTGCAATTAATGCATGCCAACTGATAATTTTGTTGAAATTTGATGAGAACACTGCATATATACATTATTTTCTTTACAAGAGGTAATAATTCAGCAGAGCTTGTTGCTCACAGATCGCTCCATGTTTGTTTTGCATGTGTTCTTTCACTTTCACACATGACGAAAAAGTCAGCGGTCTCTGTTTAATATAAATAATATCATACTGGGATTTCTTTTAAACACAAATGTACATCTGCACTGATGCTGCATGAACCACACAGGGCCTGTGTTATCGATACCGGCGCTTCTGTTGAGGAGTGAGGTTATCAAGGATACGTGGGCTGACGTGGGTGATGTAGTGCAGAGAGGGGTCGTCAAAGTTGAATGGAGGGTTGAACTGCTCCTGAATGTACTCGGGCAGCAGATGAGGAATACTTGATGAAAAGAGAGGGAGATAGAGAGAGTTGAGAACTAGCACGTAACCATCCACATATTGTAAATGTCATTGTATGTGTGATCAGGACACTCACTCCCCAGAGATGGTTTTCTTGCGTGAGCAGCAGCAGAAGCAGGCAAGCGCCGCCAGCAACAGCAGCAGCAGGAGGGGGATACCAATGCCCAGGACCAGCCCCAAAATTAATGACTTCTTATCCTCCGCAGTCTGAGCACCCGTCAGGTCTGTGCGGTTAACACTGTTCCAGTCTGAAGTGGAGGAGAAAAACGTATTTTTATGAAAAATCTAATGACCAGACTCACACAGAGCCTGAACACTGTTTTCTGGTGATGCTCTTACCAAAAATGCACGACTGTGATTCCTCCTTTAGATCAGTGCCATTGCACACACACCTGTAGCCCCCGTAGGTGTTGACACACTGGGCTGATTTTGAACACGGAGCCTCTTTTGTTGTACATTCATCAAGGTCTAAAGAAAATAAGGGATACAAAGTCTAAAGACAAGGAGTAGAACTTAAGAACCCATAAGCACAGTGGAATTAGAGGTTAATATCTTATGTGTAATTTAATTGCAGTACCCAAATATCATTGGTTGAATAGTGCTTCAAGAGGGCTGATATTCAGTACAACAGCACTGTTTGCTTTCTGTTTATACCGTTTGATGTCTGTGTTTCAGATAGTCTGTCAGTCTGTGTGTTAGTTAGTGGTGGGGATATTTCATTGAGTCTTACTGCAGGTTACATTTTTACACCAGTAGGTGGCGACAAGTGACTCTCTTTATTAGTGAGTCATTGACTTGAAAAAAACACTGTTGCCTTCAGGAACATAACAAGGGACCGTCTTTATGAGTGGGTCACTGAATCATTCACCGAAGGATTCATTTAAAACACTGATTAATTCAAGAACAAAGTAAGTGATTTTTTTACGAGCAAGTTATTGAACCATTCGTTCAATGATTTGTTCAAAAGCACTTTTTTTATTCAAGTACAAAATATGTGATTTTCTTCATGAGTGAATCATTGAATCATTCACTCACTGATTCATTCAAGAACAAAATATCATATTTTCTTTATAAATGAGTCATTGATTCATTCACTAAGACAATATTAATCACAAATACTGATTCTTTCAAGAACATTCTTTATGAATGAGTCACCCATTCACTGAACAAATTTGTTATAATAACAATAACATTAATTCAGGGACAAAAAAGATAATACTTGATGAGAGAGTCATTAGATCATTAAACAATACTGATTCATTCCGAAACAAAACTACTATCAGCTGCTCTACTATCACATGCAGCAGCTGGTTTTGTTTCGAACAGTTTTCATTGGCAGAGCAAAAACAGACAAAGTACTTGGCAATACGACTGTTGGTCTTAATATCAGGCAGAGGTGTAAAGTATTGGAGTAAATGTAATTAATTACTGTACTTGAGTATCTTTTTGGATACTTTGTAGTTGTACTGAGTATCTAAGATATTAGCAACTTTTACTCTGATATTCCAACTAATATCACGTAATTTACGTCTCTGTGATGATTGGTTGATATACCAGAAGGGAGGCTAGCCTCCCTTGCGAGGTTTCTTTTCTCAACACTCCTCAGCGTTGAAGTGAACACTCGATGGTGATTGGCTAATTTTTTTTTACCAACGGAGGCACGAGAGCTCACCTCTCCCCCGGCCTCCCCCACCCTTCTCTATCATTAGCGGTTGTATTACATCAGCAGATTCGGCACATTCGCTATAGAAAAGCGGCGCTTTCCAACTTCATTAACAAGTTATGGTATTACAGCTGTGAAATTACAAACAAAAAATACACATTCTGAGACATGAACTGAAATGAACTGTGAATTTTATTAATTTTAAATCGTCCTCCTCCCATTTTCACCTCATGAGCCTATATTTAGTATAAGTAAAATACTTAAGTACTGTTAAAATCAGATACTCTGAGACTTTTACTCAAGTTGTTTTGGAATTGGTGACTTGTAACGTGTAGTGGAGTAATTTTCACTGTAAGGTATCTGTACTTTTACTCAAGTATGGTTTTTAGGTACTCTTTACACATCAGGTTTGATCACACTCGCTTTTGATAAAGCAGTGATTGGCCAATCAAAAGCAGTACACAGAGTCATGTAAAAAGTGAACTAAGCAGTACACAGAGTCATGTAAAAAGTGAAAATCAAATGTTTTGGTATGTTCTTACCGTCCACAGAGGCTGAACGGATGCCGTAGTACTGACTGACTCGGGTCAGGTAGTCCATGACATACCAGTGCGGCGTATCACTGGACACATTGATCCTGTACTCATTCTGCCCACCTGCTGATGCTGAATCTGGAGCTATAGCACTGGCATTGTAGAACTTGTTCTGGAAACCCAGTGATAGGATCTGCTCCAGCTGCAGAATTTAATGTGAGATGTAGTGTTAATGACATGCCATGTCTGAATTTATCTGACATTTTCACATCTCAGATATATGCACTGACCTTACTCAGTCCTGGTGCTGATGCCTGATTTCCCCAGCCCATGGATACGTTAAAAACGTTCCATCCTAAAGAAAAAAAAAATTCATTTTTTTTGGTCTCTCTTAAATTATGAAACCTAGGGTGTGGTTTGCAGGGGAGGATATGGGTCAGTTTTCCATGACACTGCTTTTGATATCCCCCCTTCAGGTCGTTAATTTTTAGGGGCCAAGCACCGAAGGTGTTCTTCTTTTTCGTCTTCTTCCACTCTGTAAGTCTATGGCAGCCCATAGAACCATATTGTAAAAAGTTGTGAAATTTGGCATAGAGTGGACAGTTGGAGTCTCTAACTCTAACCGTCTAGTGCCACCACTTGCCCAAATTTGGACTCATGTTTGTGCTAATGACTTTTGAATCGTAAAGGGCTAGAAACAAAATATTTGTTTCCTCTGATTCCTTGGCTCAAGATGATTGCATTCCTTGGAATTTTTTTCCACCATTTTGAATTTCTCAAAAAAAAAACTACTTTTTCAAACTCCTCCTAGACAGTTTGCCTGATTTTGACAAAAAAAAAACTAAAAAACACTGAAACCAAGTTGATCAGTCAAACTGTTTCTGAGTAACGTGTGAATGAATTTGTCGAAGAGCTCACCAAAGTGGATGTGAGACTATATCTCTGCAATGCTTTAGCATTGCCTGCACAGTGTCATCTAGTGGTCAGGAGATATTTTTGCTTATAGCTTATGAACGGTTTGGCCAAAAAATCACTAGACCGGTCTCTTTGCATGGCAGCCATTTTGGGTATCTGCCATTTTGAATTTTGACAAAAAATGCCATATTTTACGAATGCATTGGCGTATCGTTATGAAACTTGGCATGGGGCTACTCAACCACCTCCTTGTGGTCAAAAATTATAATGAAATTAAAAAAACATATTTCTTAACATTTCATGATTCCTTGGATCATGTTGAGAACATCAATATCAATTATGGCATAATCGGCCGAACTTCCTTTCTGGCATTTTGATTTATGTTGAAAACCTACTTTTCCGTACTCCTCCTAGACCATTGGTCCGATTTTCACCAAATTTGCCTCAGATCATCTTCAGAATTCAAGTTGATAGATGAAATATTTTTCATTTACCGCATCAACAATTTGATGGCATGATGCCAAACTGCATCTGAGGCTTTATATCTCTGCAAAGCTTTGACATACTGACACCAAACTTTATGTGTATCACCTCACACTGACCACAACCCATCAATCTGGTAGCATCACCACCTATTGGTAAAAAGTGATAAACCATTATGAAGCCATTAATCATTAATAATGAAATTTCAAAAAATGCTTATAAACATTTTTGCCTCTTGTCATGTGACTGGTCTTGTTAGATTCCTTGGATTATGCCGAGATCATCGATACCAATTATGCCATAATCAGCTGAACTTCCTGCATTTTGATTTATGTTGAAAACATACTATTTCGAACTCCTCCTAGACCATTGGCCCAGTTTTCACCAAATTTGACCCACATCATCTTCAGACCATGCTGGCAAAAGGATCAGGTCGAGAACATTGATACCAATTATGTCGTCATAAGTCGAACTTCCTGTCTTATTATATTGATAAACAATTAAATCATACTACTAATGATTGATTTTATGATTTTTCTGCCAGTTTGAGTAAAATCACCTTAAAATGTCTGATCCTCCCTGCCATGCTTGCTCCTCATTCTCATGTAAAGAGGTTTTACATGAGGCAAGATTATCTGTAGTCAGAGCAATGCACTGTCACTGCCACCAGTCTTACATGAGACCAAAACAGATTTTCATTTTATTTTGTGTTACATTTTGTTTTCAGCATCATAAGCAGCCCATTAAAACATGCACAACATCACAACATTTTCTGGACTAAGATGGAATGAAAATAATACATAATTTGTCAGGAGAGATGGCTTAAATGTGTTCAAAATGTTTGACAGTTTATTTATCTTAATACTTCATGAGTCCTGTAAATTCTATAAATAAATTTATAGTAAGTTAGTTAATGGTCAGAATTTAATTCAGTTGATTAAACTAAACTTCTAAATGAAAAATTCAATAATGACATTCAAATATCCCCCCTTCTTTCATTTTTTCTTTCTTTCTTTCTTTCTTTCTTTCTTGTTTTTATAAATCACTCTCTAATGACACCTATATTAATAAAAGTAAGTAAACACAGCCTCACCTGTAGGATTAGCAGAGTCACCTAAAAAAGTAAAATAAAACAAAAGTGAAACAACAGAAAACAATAAACTAAAATAATCAACCGTGTAATGAAGCAATTGGTTTAACTGATTTAAAGATTAAAAATCTTGTTTTCTTCAATCCGTTACCTGTGTACAGTAAATGTAAAGTTAAAGTCATGTTGATAAGTTGTGAAATTTAAACCACTTACCACAGCCGTCGGTATCTTTGGTCTTCTGATAACGGCATGAGCAGCGCACTGATCCCGGCATGTTCACACATTCAAACTTGGCATTGGGACAGGCCGAGGGGGCCAGACACTCATTAATATCTGTGGGTGAAATAAAGCATGCGTGACTGCAAGTGTGCCTCAGAGAGTGGCTGTTAGCATGTGCATTGTTGTGGCATACCTTCACACTGTTTTCCATCACCTCTGTAGCCACGCTTACATTTACATGTGTAGTTGTAGCCAGTGCTGGTACAGTCTGCCATCTCATGACAGGGGAAGGGGAATGGAGGGAGGCAGAAGTCTGTGGGACACAGTTAGACAAACTTGGTTTAAGAAAAAAAAGACTATTATGGCTCTAAAATCTCATTTGAAGCTGTTGCAATGAAGAATAGCAAAATAAGTGTGCCTTTTAAATAACTACTGACCATTTTCAAAGCACTTGTATCCTTGTTTGCCCTGGTATACAGTCGGAGGGGGGCACGGTCCACATGTGAACAGGTCTCCTTCTTTCTGTCTTATGCATTCCACACCAGGAAAACAGGGTTTGCCTTTACACACATCTACTCTGTTATCACAGTACTTGCCACTGAAACCCGATGGACAAAGACATCCCACAATCTATATGTAGACACAAAGAAAAACATGTTTGTGTATGTTTAGGAAGCATTACATATTATTACCCAGAACACCACAGCACACAACTGAACGCCACATACTGATTAACATAGAATTCACCTGGTGACTTGTACACTCTAAATAAAGCTGTAAGTAAACTGAACTGAACTGAACTGAACTGAACTCAGCTCAACTCAACTCAACTCAACTCAACTCAACTCAACTCAACTCAACTCAACTCAACTCAACTCAACTCAACTCAACTCAACTCAACTCAACTCAACTCAACTCAACTCAACTCAACTCAACTCAACTCAACTCAACTCAACTCAACTCAACTCAACTCAACTCAACTCAACTCAACTCAACTCAACTCAACTCAACTCAACTCAACTCAACTCAACTCCACTCCACTCCACTCCACTCCACTCCACTCCACTCCACTCCACTCAACTCAACTCAACTCAACTCAACTCAACTCCACTCCACTAAAATTGCCTTTATATATTTTTTGGCAAATATTTTGCACTATACTAATTAATTAATCAGTTAAAGTTACACTACAGTTAAAAGTTTTGGGTCATACATTTTTTTTTAAGAAACATACTTTTATTCAGCAAGTATGCATTAAATTGCATAAATAAATGAGACATGTATAAATGTAAAAAATATTTCTTTTTCGAATAAACACTGTTCTTTTTTAACCTTTCTATTCATCAAGAATTCCTGATGTATATAAATATTAAGCACCACAAGGGTTTTAAACATTGGTGATAATAATAAGAAATGTCTCTTGAACAGCACCACATTAGAATGATTTCTGAATGATCATGTGTCGCTGATGCTGAAAATTCAACATTGCATCACTCGAATAAATTACATTTTAAAATATATTCAAACAGAAAACAATTATTTTAAATTGTAATAATATTTCACATTATTACTGTTCTTACTGTATTTGTTATATCATCACACTCAATTTAAATCTAAAGCTTCTCTGCATGTTCACCTGAAACTTTCCCTGCAGATGGTTCTCAACCACGCTGTCGTACTGGCATCTTCCTCCATTCATACAGTTACAGAGCTGCAGAACAGGGGTGATCATGGAGCTGGATGTTTGATCGCTCACTTGAACTGTCAGATTGACTGGCTGAATACCAGAAGGGGTCCACGTGAAGATACCATCACCTTCAGAACACAAATAAACCAATGAAATATCGATGCACCAAAATGTAGAGCATGCATGGCATTAGTTTTACAGGCATTAGAGTTAAGAGTATAATGCTTTAGACATAGATCTAACAGATGATCTCACTGACATTTGCGTATTACTTTGTAAGCAGACTAAGTTGATAAAAAGTATGCTTTGCAATAAATCATACCGCTGCCGATGGTGACCCGTGGAGAGCGCGGTAAGGCAATGGAGAAGGTGATTGGGTCTCTGTTTGGATCCTGGGCCTTGAACTGAACTCTAACTGTACTATTGACTTTACACATAATAACAAATGGCTCTGTCACAATGGGTGGCAGGTTTCCTGTTGAACACAAGCAAAGGGAGAGAGTCGTTCAAATGTCCTAGACAGTGAATGAATGAATTTATGAATGAATGAAAGAATCAATGAATTATTGTGACTAACAAGAGGAACATTTTATCACTCACAATTGTAAAACCCATATTAGAAGAATTTAAAAAGAAATGTTTGAGTTCAAATTGAGATCTCTTTGGTGCTGTAATACACTGTGCTAAAAATCTGAGCGCAGCTTGAAATACTGTTAAGGTGTCTTCTGAACACTTTGCACATCTGAAGTCTTTTTTCAGGAGGATAATCTAAGATGCAGTAGACGTAAGTTTCAATTTGTTCTCCATTTAATCTCATTAGTAACAACTTTTAGATTTTTTCTTTCCCAAGTGATAAGCATAAAACAGTACCATTCAAAAGTTTGGGGTTCGTAAGAATTATTATAATTTTTTTTAAAGAAATTGATACAGTATTTTCGTATTATATTCATTAAAACTAGGAGTAAATATATTCATAATGTATGATATCTAAAATAATTCTATTCCAAATATATGCTGTTCTTTTGAAAGTTCCATATGTATATATATATATATATATATATATATATATATATATATATAGTGGTTTTGACAAAAATATTAAGCAGCACAATTATTTGCACATTGATAATAATAAGAAACATTTCTTGAGCAAATGATTTCTGAAGGATTATGTGACTGAAGACTGGAGTAATGACTCTGAAAATTCAACATTGCAACACATAAATAAATCAAATTTTCAAATATATTCAACTAAAAGAACAGATATTATAAATAGCAATAATATTTCACAATATTACTGTTTTTACTGTATTTTTGATCAAATAAATACAGCCTTGGTGAGCATAAGAGACAAAACATTTAAAGGGGTCATATGATGTTGCTAAAAAGAACATTATTGTAGGTATGTGGGGGCGTGTTCGAACGAGCCGTTTTAGGTAGGTGTGGCTGACTCTGAACTTTTATAAAGAATATCTCCTTGGATTTGAGACTTTAGTCTTTGCAACTTTACAGATCTTCTTTATGCACCAAGAGCTTGTAACACTCCAAAGAGAAAGGAAAAATTGAAATCGCATCATATGACCCCTTTAAACATCTTGCCAACCTCATTTTTTAGTTTAGTTTTTAGGTAGGTTAATATGTTTTTGTGCTTTAAATGAAGGTCAGTTGCTAACCGTAAATTTGCGCTTGGCTCCGAAGCTGCTGCTGATCTTTCTGAACATCCTGGCCGAGGATTGGGTTTCCTGTGGCCAGGATGTCATGCACACACTGCATGTTGCTCTGGCAGTTCTGACTGTGTCTGGCCAGCAAGTCTGGGCTCACTGAGGACATCAGTTGCTCTGTCATGACGGGACTGAATGGAGCACTAGGAGGCTCTGACAACAGAAGACTCTCTGGAGCAGGAACTGCCCCTGTGGAAAACAATCAGACAAGGAAGAAACCATAAGTACAGTGACCAATAATGAAATCTTAAAGGAATATATACAGCATTCCTTTTTTCCCTATAATTCAGAGACAGTTCTGAAGGATCCTAATATTAATTTTCTTAGTATTTCAACATAGAAACTCCTTAAACTAAAATAAAATATTTGATTTCTTTAAACTGTCCAGCAGCAACAAATTATTTCAGTATAATACAGTAAGAAATAGTTACAATATTGCGCGTAAGTTCCGATTTATCCAGTAGGAACTTATTCGATTCTTACAGGATTCCATTATAGGACTGGTTCCAAGTTATGATTCTAACAGGAATCCTGTACATATTTCTTCCATACTATTTGATTCGTGGTACACAATATTAAAAATAGATGAATGCCATAATGGTAAATGCATACCCTTGTGAAAAAGAAGTACACGTAAGGATACTTTTAAAAAAGAGCACTTATTAAGGAAATAATATAGACATACTGAAATGCAAACGGAATGTAATATTTTGGACACTTGCAACTGCGTGTTATTTACAATTAAATGAAAATGTATTATAGTTTAAATGTATAATAAATAAATCTTAAGCGTGCCTTTTTTGACCCACAAGAAGGGCTTAGGAACAACTGTAATTATATGTAATTTCATAATTACTTCTATTGTCTTTGAAATATGGTTAAAATGTACTGCTGAACGTACTGACAAACATTCATGGTAAACTACAATATAAAATGTAATTTCTTTTGCTACTTGTAAGTCATGCATTTAAATAGCCTACATTTGCAATGAAGAAGTTGCAACTTAGTAAATTTGAACTATTTTAACTTTGAATGCAATATCAAATAAATTATAGGCTAATCCAGTACTTTACATGTGCTTTAGTCAACACATCAAAATGAGTACTTCTTTAAATATTATTCAAACATAATGATTTAAAATGTACTTTAAAGTAAAACTTTTAATTTGACATTTTTACAAAGTGCACTTTTTAAGTGTTCTTATCCCCCAGTTTCAGAGACAAGGCAAGACTTAAGCCTAGTCCCAGACTAAAATGTAAGTCTGAGCTGTTTCAACTGAAAGAAACTTGCACTGATTGATCTTAAAATATATCAATGCCTTTGTTTTGTGTCAAGATGGACACCAGTAATGTTTTTTTTCGAAGGCACGTTTATAAAAATTACTTAAATGTCCTCTAATTGAACTATGGCCTAATCCTGGCTTAGTCTGAAACCAGGCCTAAGTGTGTTAAGAAACAGTCATAAAAGGGTCTGATTTCAAGTAAACTTAAGTGGCCCTTTATTTCTTTAATATTATAGCCTATTATCTTCAAGTACCGTTTTTTAAAATATACTTTTAAGATATGAAGTAGCCTACACTACCAGTGCACATTTTAATACAATTAAGCGCACTTCTTTTTCCACAAAGGTATCAGTCACAAATTTTTATCAAGTCGCAGTTTCTACAATATTTAACATTTGATCACAAATACTGAATCCAGCTGAAGAATTCACGCACATGACTGTCCAAAGGGAAGCAGACTCTGTTCAGAGGGGACGTTGTTGTTTAGAGAAGGCACCATACGGCCATTGGAGAGCAGGAAGTCATCGGTCCTGTTGGAGCTCCAGTGTCCCAGCAAACCCAGTGTACGGTTGTAGAACCTCTGCGGGACCTCCACCAGAGCGCTGAGCCTCCCAGCATTGCCTCTCCACACGAGCACATACAGGCCCTCACCGTACACCACTGCGCAGCGGCTCACAGTGGTACAGCGCACTGCAAAGCCCCGCTCGTTTACATGCACAACTCCTGTCAGAACAGCAGAGAGCGCTCGGTTAAATCTAAAACAGGAGCTGCTAAAAAAATATAGTAGGCAACAAAAAAAAAAAACAAGGAGCAGCATGACCGAATTCACAGTATTCATAAAACATTTGCTGAAATGCCAAGATGATTCTGAAGTGCACATCTGATTAACACTAAATGGATACTATCCCATGAGGCCACATGGGAGGATTACCTACTTAGAGAGTATACAATTTCGGACACAGCCGAGTTATGCCTCTTTTACACTTTTAGGTCTGTTAAGTATTTATTTGTGACCCTGGACCACAAAACCAGTCTTAAGTGTCAATTTTTCAAAATTGAGATTTATACATCATCTGAAAGCTGAATAAATAAGCTTTCCATTGACGTGTGGTTTGTTAGGATAGGACAATATTTGGCTGAGATACAACTATTTGAAAATCTGGAATCTGAGAAAAAAATCAAAATATTGAGAAAATCGCCTTTAAATTAGTCCAAATGAAGTTCTTATATGCAATGCATATTACTAATCAAAAATTAAGTTTTGATATATTTACAGTAGGAAATGTACAAAATATCTTCATGGAACATGATCTTTACTTAATATCCTAATGATTTTTGGCATAAAAGAAAAATCTATAATTTTGACCCATACAATGTATTTTTAGCTATTGCTACAAATATACCCGTGCTACTTAAGTACAGGGTCACATTTATCATTAAGGTTTTATTTATAACCAGTCAAAGGTGTTTTTCTATGAATGATATACAATTCTTTACAAAACTAACACTTTAATGGATGAGTCGTGTCGGATAATGAGGAAAAGCACTTAACAAGAGCAAGGAAACATGAAAACTCCTGCAAAACTATTTAAAATGCATCCCTTGATGCTTATGCTATGCCATATGTACATTTGTGTTACTTCATAGGTCTGATTATTATTCTAAAATATGGAAAACAGTAATAATAAAGAATTTTGTCTCTGATTAGTGTTGTAAATAGAAGGGCAGCATTATTATTTCTTTGCTTCAGCATGCGAGAACCTTGAAATGCTTCTTACCAACAGACACAGGAATGGCCTCATCATTAACCAAGACCTTAAGTCCATCACCAGATTCAGCACACCGCCACTCCACCTTTCGAGAAATCATTTTACAACCTTTACGTTGTGGACACACTCATTTATTGTGCACGTAGATCTATATTTAATCTGAAATGCCAGACTCACCTTTCCAGCACCCTGATAGAAGGCGGCTAATCGTACCAGAGCAGGCACAAGTTTGGGCTGCCAGTTGACCACTAGAATTTCTGTTTGTCCCTGCAGGGTGAAGATGTTTGATCCCGTGCTGGAGGAGAGACGGACTATAACGTACTCCCCCAAACCTTTGAAGGTATACTCACTCCCGTCAAAGGTAATAAAGTGGAGACTACCGTATACCATGCCTGGATGAAAAAGAGTGCAACAGAGACACGTTAAAGATACTTCCTTGTCAATATGAGCTTCAATTTTATTTTTATTTTTTTCAATCAAGCAGTAGTCATAAGGGCTGTAAAAGTGATCGAATCTGACAAAGAAAATGCAATGCATAGATTACGTAAATATATAATAATGATGCGCAATATACAGGAACCATATCAGTTATGCATACTCATTTGCCCTGCATTTACATTTAGATTACCTTTGCTGTCATCTTTAAAAACATTATTAATTTAATAATATAATCTTTAGCAAAGCTCAAAATGAATATCTATATTTCACACTGTTATTTAATGTTGTGATGCATGTAGTATTTAAAATGATTGATTTAAGTTCTTAATGTTTTGTTCTTAATTTTGTGTAAACTGCATACACTGAAAAACATTTAGTGTAGGATTTACTTTAAACAAATTTCACTCAGAAATTGCTAGTACATTTCATAAACAATTATGAAGATATGGTAAGTAACATTCTGAATTGAATGTGAAATTGTGAAGTAGAAAGACTAAAATAGTACTTTCTTGTAAAGTCTACTCCAATAGTCTTTGTTTTATTTACAATTTTGAAAAATATTTTTTTTACAGTACTGTAACATACATCATTTACTGGCCATAACGTGACATTACTTATCGGCTTATTGATATCAGCTAAAATGTAATATCTGTGCACCCATAATAATAATTTACTACAATACAAAATGTATTACATATTCATTTCTTATCCAAAGTACAATTCTTGACATACTTTCAGATGTTTAATCTGTTTAAAACTCAGATCCCCAATCTAGTTTAAGTGCTGTGCTCCACAATTTGAAAGTAATTGTAGATGTCACCAAATTGTGACCAAATTTCTGATTTCTTGATGCGTTGCGTAAGTAAAGAACCCTAATGAAATCAAATCATTTCCAGAGCAAATATTTTCACCCCCGGTAGTCATGCATAAGCGAGTTGACGAGGTGTAGAGCTCTTACCAATGCCTGGTGCTCCCCGGTTCCCAGGTATACTGCTGTCAGAGCTGTTCCAACTGTACCCTTGGCACCGGTCAAGTGGTCTCTTTGCCAAGTAAATGTCACACAGAGAAGACTGAACACAGCACCACTGGAAGGGTAAAAGATCCTTGTCTAGTAACAAAGACAGCATGAAAAAAATCTAATCAATAATCAGGTAACACATGATTACAAGTTCAACTTACAAAGCCTCTGCAAACTTCATATGAAGAAATTATATTTGCAATGGCTTTACCTATATGTTGTTGCATCTTGTCCTCAGTAAAGTACCGTTCACTGTATCCAGCCAGCAGGGGGCCCTCTGGATCATATACACATCTCTTTCCTGCCTTTTGTTTGTTATACAGGACAGACTGAAAGACACGGCCCCTGCTACCACCCCACCTAAGAGCTCTCAGATCCCTCGCTTGTGCCATCTGTTCTGATGGGAGAGTCTCAAGGCTAAAAGCCAGGTCTTCCTGCGCTTGAACACTAGTGCAGGGACATGGTGCCAGTCCTAATGCCCATTCTTTAGGATCTGGCTCATTGAAGGCCCATACCTGGCACTGCCTCTGAGGATCCGAGCTGGCTTCAGAAGAGCCTGACAGGTCATACACCAGCTGCCCCAGTTTGCCTGTGTTACCCACGGCAGTCTGGGGTCGATAACGCCCTCCTGGGCCAAACAGGTTGTCTGGTGGCTTTGGAATCTCATTGTGAAAGTTGCTCTTGCCATCAGTGTAGCCTATAAGAGCGTTATGATCGGTCCTCTGTCCTGGACCCCAGTTCATGTCACTGTAGCGGAGCAGAGCAAATGAACGTAGACCATCTGTGGTCAGAATGCACTGGAAGGTGTTGGTCTGTGGAGGACGTTAGGATGATTATTATAAGACAAACAAACATTTAAAGGCCTTTAAAACAGGACCTACTTGCCAGGATAAAAGTATTTTAACTTTGAAATATCTGTCTTAAAGCAGCACTATGTAACTTTTTCTGTGTTCAAAATTTGCAAAATGTATATAATGAGCGAGTACATCATGAATTAATCTTCCAAACCGCGTTTTTGTCTTATTCCGAATCACTACGGTACACTTAATGTAAATTATGTGAAAAATAATGCGTTTTTCGAACCACCAAGCATGAGAGCATGTTCTAGTACACCCCCAAAACATAATCAAGACTTTGTAAAAGAGCATAATAGGACCCCTTTAAGAACCCCATGGTCTGTTCCATTCTATTCTGTGTAGCTGTTTTTGAAAACAAGAATGCATCCTGCATGAACGGCCTCTTAGTCATTGCTAAAAACAATTCCCAGGATTTTTCTAACAATACAAACTAGGACAGAGAGTGGGGGTTTGGGTGGGGACAGCAACACTATACCAAGTCCATAAATTTACTACCCATATCAGGAACTAGTGAGAGAAAGGATATAGCTTTCCTATTGTGTAAGATGAGACCATAACCCAAAATTTTGTTTCCACTATAGACTGAAATAACTTTTATGTTATTGTTTATGCAACGTTTATGTTCTGTACTGTGCTTTCCTCATTTGCCTTGCGATGTCATTTTAAATTCATATGTGATTGGTTGCTAGAATGTTGGCTGGGTGTTCTGGGAATATTATGGCTTCTTATTGGCACAAGAAGTCATAAGAGTCTGCCCCTAGATATGGTCATTTTAATGTAAATGTATGTTTTTTTTTCACCAATTGTATCATCTTCCAGGCAAAAGTAATACGTCTGATTGCTTAGAAAAATAATAGCACACCTCTCCTCAACAAGCCATGTTATTTGTGTACAGTGGTGGACAGTAACGAAGTAGTTTTACTTCGTTACTGTACTTAAGTACATTTTTTAAGTATCTGTACTTTACTGGAGTAGTTTTATTTTGAGTAACGTTTACTTTTACTTCACTACATTCCAAAGCATAAGATCGTACTTTTTACTCCACTACATTTCATAAAACTTA